TGATCCCAGATTGGGAAATGTTTCAGCATGTTAAACATAGTATGGCACACAATTAGTAATAAAAAAAAGAGTAGAAAATAAACCATTATACACTATAAACATCTCAAAGTAGAAGATAAAACTGAACTAAAAGAGTGAAAATATGAAATAAAACTCTATTGAAGGGCTAAATTACAGCTAACACAATATACAAGTAGAGTATTATCTACATTTAGTGTGCAAGAATTGCATATTAAATGAAATATAAATGCAAAATGTACATTGTGAAGTTATAAGTCCAGTTCACATAAGAGAAACTATGCAGCTGTGAGTTCTCTGCAAGAAGAGGTGAAAGTGTTATTGCTGTTGGAAGGAATGTTTTCCTGTATCTGTCCTTGTGAGATTAAAAATATAAATTACTTTTCCCTTTACAGATACAGATGCAATATATATAGATAATGTATTTAATATTATTTCTGTACAATGCCATGTCCTTGCTGAAATAGCACGGAAAAAGAAAACGTCCAATACCCCTAAAAAAACAGTTTGTCATTATTTACTGGTTGTCATGATCAAGTTGGTTGAGGTCTTTCTTCTTTTTTTTTTTCACTGCTGTCACAATAATGTGTCATACAAAGCATGACTCAATTGCAATTTAACACTATTCATTTTATAATTGCAAATACATGTTCACTTTTAGGAAATATGCCTATTGGCTTTCTGGTAGAGAGTTAGAGGAGAAAATGTTGTCTATCCATTTAATACGAAGGTACAGCCAGTAGTCAGATAGCTTGGCTAAGCATTAAGCCTGAATTAAAGAAAAAAGTTAGCATGGTGTTGTCCAAAGTATCAAATGCTAATTTTGAATGTTTTACCTGGGAATTTCAATGATGAGTGGATCAACAGCTGGACGTATTACTCACTCTGAACAGAAACAGCTCTCAATTCTAGATTGCCTGAGGGTAAGGTGCATACTGTAAATAACTGTTTTGTGCACTTGTGTTATTAGGAGTAGACTAAAGGGGAAAACACAGCAGGAACATATGGCATAACGGGACACGCCTCCTTTTTCAAAGCAGTGATAAAAGTTATTGCCACCACATCAAATTGGTTTGCGACGTAGGCCTTGGCCGCAGGGTATTGCAATTCACATCCAAACCCTAACCCTACGTTTTCTAGAACCACAATATGGTGAAAGTGTCAGTTTATCCAACACTGTGGTTTATTTCCAAAGGATCATCAATACTGGCAAAACTAGGGACATTGTCATTGGCCTCAGCTGTACTTGTTTTAGCGCTAATTGCCAAATGTCAGCATGCTAACAAACATTCATCATAAACATCATCCTATGCCTATGAAAAATGTTTCAAGGCATAGGCTTGTAACGATCAACTATTAAAAATAGCTGTGTTAATTAAACGCACAAGGGGTTCTTGACATGAAATATTATTACAAAGGAAAAATAGAAATAATAAATGGAAAAGCTACTCCTTCCACAAGGATTCCCAACGAGAATGTATTTTTCTACTGTCTATTTCAACCCACACATTCACAAATCAACAAAGACGGGTTTTATGCGTTATTCATTATATTATTAGTTTCTCAGCCAAGCAACAACATAAACAAAACTCAAGAAAATGTCTGCTCGGCGATAAACCGAAATTGTCTATAGAGCCTAATCCAGGCCACTATAGTTAATTGAGAAAAACAGGATCGTCGGCGTTGCACAAAGGAAACGATCTCACCCCGTGTTGTAGAGTACAGGTGGGCCGATGCAATATCCACTCTTATGTTTCACTTAATTCCCCTTTTGTATTTTCCACATATTTATACACGCTGAGGAATATTGAATAAACTGTTAAATACCAGCACACGCCACACACACTTCCTACTCCCGTGAAAACCACCCCCCGCCTCCCGGTGACACACCCACTTAAAAGCCTCTGGGTTGGCCGTCACAGGTGAGTAAGCAGATGAGGCGATGACAGACCCACACCCTCAAACCGTGCATAAGAGTGGAAATGATCAACTGTAATCCCAGGTTAATACACATATTTCGTTTCATCATAATATACAACATGCATTAAACAATTTCCCTTGCCACTACAGTTAGAGAATGACACCTTAGTTCAATGTCATGGCGTCACTGGCTTTGACTAATCTTTGTTTTTTCTGTATGTGAAAATGGCCACCAAATTATTTTGGATGTGAAAGAAAAGTCTTGATGTTGAAATCAGTAGTTTGACATGGATATTGGACAAAATAACAAAATCAGAAGCTTTCTGTTGCTGATTAAGGCCCGAAACGGTCTGAAATGTTAAGAATTGCAAAGTAGGTATACTTTAAGATAATTTGGTTGAATAATATATCACTAAATGTCTTACACATTTAATCAAATGTGTAGATAAATAAAAAAAAAATGTTGGGTTCTGGGCATATTTATATTACATACTGTATGTTGTTTGCAGCAGCTTTTCAAGATGTTCACCTCTAGTTTTGAATACAGGCTTATGCGGGTTACATAAGATTTGATAACAGTGTGTGAGTCGTGTGTAGACATGCAGAGCTGCAGAGCTGCTGTCAGTTAGCACAACCTGTTCTGTCTCTCCCCATAACACACTTCTTCCTGCCATGGCCGCAGGGTATTGCAATTAAGGGAACTGTATTTAGTATTTACTTTGGCAAACCGGGAAACCCTGACCTGGACGCAGGTATAAGAGAGAGAAGGAGAGGAGACCTAAAGAGCAATCGGAAACTACAGAGACAAACCCGCTACTTAGCTAATCATTTGTTGTTGTTATCTGAAGCATCATTGCCAGTAACAAACAAACCCCCCTGCATTATTTGAAGTCATATTTTGGTCATCTACTTTAGTCGTACTCGTAACAGGACTGCATCTAGTAAAAAATGTCTCCTTCTCATCCTCCTCAGTCTTAATGAGAACCAATTGAAATGTACATTTGTGATTTTTACATTCATTGTCTAGACTTAATATTCAGCTAGGATCAGAATAAGTCCTCCTCAGCTCATAAATAAACACATTAAACTTGATTCATGAAGCGAAGGTGCACAACTTTAAATGTTTTGTTTCCTATTTATAGTTTGGTATATTTTAAGAGAATAAATTAAATGGTGTTCATTTGAATTTTTGAGGTTTCCCTCTCCTGTAGTCTGTTCATTAGGTTTTTTTGTGCATAAATGGTCTGCAAAGGTTAAAATCCCAAAGTTCTGAATACAGGGTGATGCTGGTAACATAACATTTAATTATATTAAGTGAGTCTGCAGAGCTGCTGTCTTCACTTAGCAGAACCTGTTCTCTTAAGGTTAGTATCACATAACATACTCATCACTGCAAAACCTGCGGGGTGTACTTAATATTTACGTTGGGCAAACCGGGAAACCCTACCCATTATGGGAATCTATTTAGGCAGTAGCAGGTATTTATGGGAGAAACCTCTGGAGGGGAGATCTAAAGAGCAATTTCCGAAACTAAGGAGACACACCCACCACTAAGCTGGATCATTTGTTGACGAAGACACACCGCTGAAAAAAAGCCAAGCAGTCATAACAGGGCTGCGCCTAGGAAAAATGTTTCTCCATCTCATTCTCCTCCTTCTCCATTTAGTACCAGTCATTTCAGAATGGTCCTCTGGAATCTGTAAACGTGTGTGCATATTTTCTTTTATACTTAAAGAGGCCCTATCATGCTTTTTGGGGTTATCTCTTTCCTGAAGTAGTTTTATATAGGTTTAAAACTACGCCCCCCGCTTGAAAAGCATTGTCTCCTTTGTTTACTGATGCAATAAAGGGACAACACTATTTAACATCCGCAATTCTATTGGCTAATACATTGTATGTGATAGACTAAAGGGTGGGAAATCTCCAAGAGGTTGACCAATCACAACAGAGTGGGCCAGCTAACCAATCAGAGCAGACTGGGCTCTGGTTTCAGACAGAGGGTGAAAAGAGGTGCTGCTTATTATTGAAAATAAAGAGCTTTTTGAACATTAAAGGAGAGGTGTCATGCTTTTCCGGTTATTACCCGTCCCCTTGTGTGTTATGAAGGTTTTTATGCATGTAAACGGTGTGCAGAGTCAAAACCCTCAAAGTACACCCTGTAGCGAGTAAAACTCTAACACAGAACCTCCCCAAAACGCCTCGTTGGAGATACGTCATTGTCCATTTGATTCTTCCGGGACGGCATGATGTCAAGCCGTACCCGGAACGAAATGGACCAATCCGTGGAGCCGTTATGTTAAGCCCCCGCTGATCGGTCCAAATTGACCAATCCACGGACTTCCTCACACACACATCTGTGTGCAGGGAGCAGGCAGCTCAGCTGATTTCTCCTCCCTGGCTGCAGGCTGATAACAGACAGTTGGGATCGCGGCGAAATTCTCTCTGCAGACCCATTCTCACAGCGTTTATCAACCTTTTTCTTACTCAATATCAAGCCACACTTATTGTTTTTACTTCGGCTGTGAGCTTGTGTGTGGTCAGGATGAGTTTGGCTGTGTTTCGCTATGTATCCTAAACAAGGAAACAACACCTCCACAGAGCTCAGCGCGATTCACAACGTCCCGACCAATCAGAGCACACTGTGCTCACAGGGAGGGTGGGGGCTGGAGCTTTGGGAGCTACAACGAGCCGTTAAAGGCAGAGAGTGAAATTCAGTGAATACACGTAGTTTACAGAGATGCTGTATGAGAAACCAATGTGAGTTTGGAAAAATGCTATTTTAGTATACCTCAACAATGGAATTATGATCAGTGGAAATGGCCATGACACCTCTCCTTTAAAGCATGGAGACATGTCACAGTGGAGACACGGAATGTAAATATGAAATTGAAAATGAGCAAATATGTCCTCTTTAACATTCTATTGATAAAATGTCCATCTACTACTCGATATCTTCAACCCTTTACTCCATCCTTTATGTCAGCGTTCATTGCTACATTATAACTGCCAACCAGAAATTATTGTGTGCCCAGTGATTAACCACTTCCTGTGTGTTTCTGCAGAGTGCAGAAGAAGAGTCTCAGTGGGTGGAGGAGCTCCTGCAGCTCCACACGGCCCGGGTCCGAGACGTGGAGATCCTGACGGGCCTGGACCTGTACCGCTCCACAAACCTCACCCTCACCAGCACCCTGAGCCTCAAAACATACATGCACACCTTCGAGAGTGACGACTAGACGCCCAGAGACAGACACACACACACACACACACACACACACACACACACACACACACACACACACACACACACACACACACACACACACACACACACACACACACACACACACACACACACACACACACACACACACAATATATCCCTTTATAGAAGTCCTGCATTTACCTGCATGCTCGCTGGACTGCCGGCACATCGTTGTTCTTGAGGAACTGCCCGATAAGTGCTTGTAGAAGGGAACACATATATTACACATTTTGAATAAGATTGAATTGGATTGGCAAGCAGTAGAAAATTACAACACACATGTTCATTTTTATCCCCCAAATATCTGAGAAGAAATAAGCTAGCACAGGAACGATGCAGGGTGGGGACTTTCTCGACAGCTGCCTCTACATATTTCATAAAAGCAGTTTATACAGGACATCCTCGCACACATAAAGGACTGTATTTCTCCGTAACTATAAACAATGTATACTTTATATTCCTACGGCCCATTCATTGCATGCTGTAGATTTCAAACAAATTGAGTGTGTCTTTTCTTACTCATAAAATACTTTTAAGACTTCCATGATTTCTATCAGCATATCTGTCTGTGTAATTTTTTGTAATTATTGTAAGGACTTCTCAAAGCAAACTGCACTGAAACTACAGTAATGTTGAATGCTGAATGGAAAAGTACATGCGTGCCTTACAAGTTGGAAAAATGCATTCAAAAATAGTCTACAGCATGTATGGAAAATCATCAGCAGTAATGTATAATATTTAGAGTTATCAGCCTGTAACATGCAACATTGCTGATGTGGTTTTGTAAAGGAATAGTTTGACATGGAAAATACAGTTAGAGACTGATGTCATGCCTCTGGTTAGCTTAGCTTATAAGAGTGGAAACAGGAAGAAAATATGCCCACCAACACCGCTCGCTAATTATAACATTATATCTTGTTTGTTTGATCAGAAATGTCAAACTCTTCCTTAAAACAACATGCAATAAACATTAACAAGTAGCAGATACTCTTATAAACCAGTCGGGCTCAACATATGTACTCCAGGGTCAGAGAGGCCTTTAAAGTTCCTGAAGTATGTGGCATTAAACATGTAAGAAAAAAACATGTGCTTCCCCTTCTCGTAATAGTAACTCAGAATTGTTGACACACACCTACACCCTACACACACCTACACCCTAACACCTACACCCTCAGGACTAAAATGTTTTTTATGAGGTGTGAGAATAATCATGATGTGGCTGCAGAAAATACAACGCAGTCAGACTGAGAGAACAGAGCCTACACACATCACACCATGACGCATATTTGTGGTTAAAGGAAACAACGCGCTGGGAAAGGTCCCACTGTTCTTTACGACAGTTTCCAGCAAAGGGATATATGTAATAATGTACATGATGCAACTACAGTAGCAGCCAAAACAGAAGTTCAATGCAAAGTTCCCCTGAAAAGAAGTGACAAAATATATACAGTATGTATTGTAAAATACAGAAACAGGAAAATAATAGGTCTCCGTCTGTTCACCTCGAAGCCAATCTTCTAGGTGTACATTGTTATGCAATTTGTCCTATTTATTAGGTAGCACAATAATACAAATAAATAGTAATAATAATATGAAAGATAACAACAAATTAGTAGAGGTTGAATAAGTGTTCAGGTCTTTTACTTAAATACTTAAATTCAAGTAATAATACAACACCGTAAAATGTCTTTGATACAAATCCAAGTCCTGCATTGAAAATGCTACTTACTTACTAAAACTAGGTATGATAACACAATTGTACTTAAAGTAATACATGTAAAACAATTCAATAATTATTGGGATGTAAAACAACCCGCAAATCATTACATACGTTTTAAAGCAGTTAGTAACTAAAGCTGTTGAACAAATTCAGAAACGCAAACAATTAAATATTTCTCATTGAATTGTAGTAAATATCCTAAATGACAAATGGGGCGAAGCCTGCGAGCTAGTTCAGGCAGTCAACTTGAGCACCAATGATACATTAACACGTGACGCACCTCGTCCCTCTTACAACCAACCAAACACATTCTCCTAAACATGCCGCTCTATTTAAGCTGCCAGGTCTTCCTGCCTCTGCCTCGCTATGCTGCTGCTGCCACTGCTGTGTTCACTTGCTATTGCTGCGTTCATGTTCATGTTCCTGCTGCTGTGTTTCATGTTGCTGCTGCTTGCCTGACCCACCACCACCCCAGCTCCACCCCAGCTTCCACCTGTAGGTTTGGGGGATAGTTATCTAATCATCACTCAATGTTCTTTGTAAATCTGTGGAGTGATGAGGCCCGAGCCTAGACGCTAAACTCAAACTATATGCTGCTATAATAAACATATTAAAGAAACACGTGAGTTGTCTGACTGAAGTACATTAATGGTGCTTTTCCACTGCAGGGCCTCGCCCGGCTTAGTATGGTATGCAGGGATGCAAACTTGTCACCTTTCGGCGAAATTCGCAGTTTTGAATCCAAAATAGGTCATTTGTGTGATTCATGTAGATCTGCAATAAAAATATTTTTGGGGTATGGGGGGGTCTGGGACCCGGAGTAATCTGCGGCCGCGAGCTGTTATCTGCCATCATGACACGCATGGTGTTCTTTTTTTATATATTATAATGAAGCGCAAGCTGTGTGCTCGAGTCTTCCTGCCTGTCGGCTCTGCTCATGGATGTATAATAAGGCTCTGCTGCTCCGCGATGATGGTCTAGCTTCATTAGCTACATTACCTACGGGTGCGTTCGTTAATATTAACTGTGTGGTCCGGAGTCACTGTGGCACAGACTGGACCGCTGGTGAACAGCTGTTAGAACGGGCCGTTCAGGTGTTCAGAGCAGAGCTCCCTGTCGGAGCGGAGTGTGATGTGCACTGAAAGGTTTTTCTGTCGCAATATTATCGTTGAGCTAGCTAACTAGCATACATTGTCACTATCTGCTAACGTTAGCTTTAGCCTTCGTTTTCTAATAGTTTTTTTCATAGGCTATAAACGGTGGTATAAGTATAGATCTTGTACTTGAGTAATAGTAGAAGTACTCAGATCTTGTACTTGAGTAAAAGTAGAAGCACTCAGATCTTGTACTTGATTAAAAGTAGAAGTACTCAGATATTGTACTAGAGTAAAAGTAGAAGTACTCAGATCTTGTACTTGATTAAAAGTAGAAGTACTCAGATCTTGTACTAGAGTAAAAGTAGAAGTACTCAGATCTTGTACTTGAGTAAAAGTAGAAGTACTCAGGTCTTGTACTTGAGTAAAAGTAGAAGTACTCAGATCTTGTACTTGAGTAAAAGTAGAAGTACCAGAGTGTAGGAACAATCCTGCAATCAAAATGTTCCTCAAATAAAAGTACAAAAGTATTATCATCAAAATATAGTGAAAGTAGCGACAGTAAAAGTAGAAGTACTCAGATCTTGTACTTGAGTAAAAGTAGAAGTACTCAGGTCTTGTACTTGAGTAAAAGTAGAAGTACTCAGGTTTGAGTAAAAGTAGAAGTACCAGAGTGTAGGAACAATCCTGGAATTGGAATACTGTTACAGTAAAAGTCCTGCATTCAAAATGTTCCTCAAGTAAAAGTATAAAAGTATTAGCATCAAAATATAGTGAAAGTAGCGACAGTAAAAGTAGTGATTGTGCAGATTGGTCCATTTCAGAATAATATATATGATATGTTTTATAACGATTGATCATTAAAGTGTTCTCAAAGCTGGTAAAGGTGCAGCTAGTTTGAACGACTTTGTATACTGCAGGGTAGCTTGTGAATTTACTCCAGGTGGAACTAAAGTCTGATTTAACACTTGATTATATTTCACATCATTCATCCACATCTGTAAATAACTAAAGGTATTATATACATGTGGTGGAGTCAAAGTACACCATTTACCTCTGAACTGTAGAGGAGAAGAAGAACAAAGTAGCAAAACATTGAAATACTTAAATAAAGTACAAGTATCTCAAAATTGTACCCAAGTATAGGACTTGAGTTTATGAACTTAGTTACTTTACACCAGTGGCTATAAAGATAGAAAGACTAAGCCTTGCACAGAGGCATGAAAATACATTTCAAAATGCTCAACAGTGCTGCCAAAATTATAAACTGACTGCTACACAATTAAAATAAATGCTTTTATATATTTCTATTAGATGTGACTCTTTGGCGTTTCTGTTATTATTAACACTGCTGCTTTAGTTGTTCTGACTGCTAAAATCCTCTGTTATTCCTCATTTTAAAGCCGATATTCCGTGGGGTCGGGGGGCTCGGATCCTTGTCACCTTTTTCATACCTGATGAGTTTGCATGCCTGGGTATGGCTAGGCCTTGTTAGGCCTTGTTAGGCCAGGCTCACTTTATGCTGCGTTTCCATTACAGTTTAGGAACTGGGGTAGTATCTATAGTAACGCAGTGTAGGCGGAGCCGTGACGTCATCTTCAATGCGAAACACAAAACCAACATCAGCCGTTAGCTGTTAGCCCTCAGAGCTCACAGCTCCTCATATCTGTTCAGAAACTAGACAAAAGTTAAACAAGTATAAACCACAGACTGCCTGTGTCATGGCGAATACAGTCGCTGGTTTATTTATGTCTGTATAGGCTGTTGTTGTGAGTGTGGACGGTCATATACTGCGTTAGCTTAGCCGATCTCCATTCAGAAAACACGCATTTTAAAAGGTTTTTCGCCTACCGTCTTGTCTGCAGACTTGTCAAAGCATTAATTCATGGTTTTTACTAACCGGTATCAGTATGTTGTTACTTCGGCATCATTTTGAAACGTGTATTACAATTAAATCACGGTAAAATATGTTCATTTTGTTGTAGTTGCCAGCGATTCTCTCACTAGTTTAGCATACTCAGCCCGGTTGTTGGCCCGGAAAGAACCTCGATTTTGGAGAGCCAGAAAACTGTGAAAAAGTACCCGCTAGCCGGAACTACGCCAAGTGGAAACGCAACCAAAAACGGCCCGGGCACTGCACGGCACGCTTAAACCGCGCTGTAGTGGAAATGCACCATAAGAGTATATTTAATAAAGCTTCGCGCAAGTTCAACCAGGAAGACCAAGCTCTTCATTCAGATTACACGTCACTTCATTACACTCTCCTCCCTCATTAAGTGATCGGGGGCGTCACTCCCCAGCTAACCAATCTCTCCTCTCTCCATTCTCACAAGCCTATCATAGCACCCGCTAATCCCTTTATATCTGCTCTTCCCTCTTGTCAGCTGTCATTTCAGGTGACAAAACGCAAGACACAGACGGTAATCGGCAAACTAACCTCGTAATTCATGATATTATGATTCTCAAGACGTCCGATTCAGAGTACTCAGACCACTAACAGGGATCTTGATCCGGGCCGACTCAAGGCCTGAGATTGCATCGTCTTTTTCAAACTGCGCTCGGTATCCCGCAGCAGCCACTTGCTCCTCCTTCCCCAACTGCAGCAGCAGAGCTTCGTTCCAGCTCCAGGCATATCTTCATCAGCTCCGCAGTCTTGGGGATAAAGCTACAGGCGGCGTTCCCCAGCTCGGTTAGCGGTTCCAGCCGGCCACCCCGCAAACCCGGACGC